AAGACAGGGATGAATGCAATCATATACTTGAGAAAAGAAGTTGTGATCGAGTTAAATCTAAGGTAGGTAACACTTTACTGCATTTTGTTACTGACTACTGAATGTGCTTTGAAAGTTATGGCAACTTAAACATTACCGAGAGTCAGAAAGTTGGATGATGAACAAGCTAGACTACCCGTCGGAATATATTCCGTAGTCAATAGACGCATTATGGAGGGACACGGGATGCTTTTAGGTACTTTACAGTCAGCTGACTAGCATACCCATCGGAAAATTGGTTTGAGGTTTCTATATGTGCATTCGGGTGTGTTTTGTGCGCCTGTACTGATGCAACTGAACAGTGGTGGATGCTGTCTATGGATTGGTGTCATGCCGGGGCTGCAGGCGCCTTTGAATCACGCGCCCATCCTGATCACGACAAATCGCAGTTGATCTCGGCACCTGCTGGTGTGAGAACTGTTGCTGTTCGTTCAGACCTTGGTCAAACTGGCTATTGGAGCGGATTGAAAACGGTCAAAAATAGGGAGCAACAGAACTGGCAACCAAAGTTGCAAACTATGCCCGGGGGTGACGGTGGCGGTTTGCAGATTCGTGTGTACCCGTATGCATATACGCGGGTGTGTTTTGACTTGTCCTCAATGCTGGCTTTGGTAGGCAGCCACTGCTCCTCTTTGCCATCTCATGCGGCACCAGTTGTCGTCATTGTCGTCGTCTGCTTTTGAAGTTGATTGTCAAGGCCGATGTGCGCATGATCAGCCCGGCCTCTTTAGTTGTATCGGATGTGAAAAGCGGAGACAAGCGCACCGACAACACCGCGTGGGTGATACAGATGCACACACAACTTTTGTGCCGCTTCGACATACTGTATTTGCGGTCCATTTCTAAATCACGCTTATTGATTGACATGACTCAAAGAGAAAGGTCCCGAACCATGACGGGATGAAATTTGGGGAGTGGACGGGCTACAACACATTTGAATGAGAATTCACCAGAGAGGGGGCGGGGTGGGTTGGGAGGACAACAGAGAAGGGTAGCTGAATGATTTTAACGAGTCAGTGGTATCAAAATATGATCGATCAATGAAAAAAGGGCTATGCATATGCATGATGTGAATCCCACGGCATAGTTACGCCATGGCGTGAGCGCGCATGTGTTTGTGTGTGTTTTTTGTGTAATATTGCTCATACGCGCATGTGAGCGCATTCACGAAAGTGTGTGTGTGTGTCTATGCGTGCGTCGGTCTGTTCGCGTAATGGAATGCAGCTGCTCGCATTTGCATTCGGTTGATTCATTTACAGAAAGACAGACTGCATGGTGGGCGAGTGAGGAGACCCAAGCGGACCGATTAAGTCGTGCGGTGCGCTTCAGCTCACCCAAACTGAGATCGAACAAGCCCAATGATTCGAAAGAAGAAACTGTAATCCAGAATGATAATGATCATGATGAATTGGGGCGAATTAAAGATGGCAAGCCTGTGCGATACGGTTGAGGTAAGGGCTGGTAGGCATAACCGGGGGTGGGTTTGGGGATGAGAAGGGGCAAAGAGAGTGAGGCAGGTAAAATACATCATGGCAACTCTGTGCTCTCCAATGCCTCTCTCTCTCTGGAATTGATTATTCTGCTGCCGACCAACACATACAAGAGCAATATCTCCCACGAGATCATATTGATCGGCAATCGAATCAGAAGGGCAAACGAAAAACGCATCAATTCCATTTCACCCCACTACGGAAAAGGGCCACGACACCGTGTTAACGAGAGTGGTTTTTTTCGTGAGGTATCGTCAGTCTATAAAACTCGAATTCTCAAAAGCGCAACAACCTGTTCACCTCCTGCGAACATAACCATCATAGCGGAAAGATAAGTTACGGATACTATCGTATTTGATCCGTATACATCTCATGGTAATTCGCTCGTGAAACATCAATAACCAAACCAGTAGTGCTAGGACCGGTAATAGTAGCACAGCTGAATTGGCAGAAAATTACTCCACTATTCGAGATAAAACGGTCTTATAAAACCAATTGAAATAATAGTTTGATGTGTTGCCTATGTCCCATCTTCACGCGAATATATCGGACGGCACAGATTCTACATAGTAAACGAATCGATCGGTATGGTTGGCTCCGTATTCTCTTGATTTCGCGCATGGGTCCAAACACAGGCGGAAAAATTGATTGGGTCAAATACACAATCAGAATCGGACCTGAATCGAACGGGGTTTTTCAGCGCCTTAAATTTGTCTCTTTGTGTTCGACATTCTATCCGTTTTCAACGGAACTAAACGATAATCACATGTAAGACACCCAGACACAATTACACTCCTCGATCTGAGGAGGAGGGGGAATTGTTTCTGCTCAAACGCTTACGTAACATTTTGATTTTTAGTGTGAACTACTGATAGGAACACAATTTAACATACTCAACATATTCCGTACTCATTTTACGAGCAAGTTGTGCTAAATCAGCTAATGCGACTGACCCCACCAACGACTCAGTATGTAATAAATACCATTGATAGTTTCTATCAGAACAGTATCCAAAAGCCGTTATAATTTGGAGTCCATTATCTGGCAAAAAGGATGCAGCAAAGTGCTTTCGTGATAAGACGACACTGAAAGAAGCACACGTTGATAAAGAGTACGCGGTCATTGTAAGAATTCCCACACCGTGGAAGTTTGATTGGCCAGATAGTAGCATGAAAACTGATAATCTGAGTGCAGAATTTGAGCCAAATCTTATACCCCAATTAAGTCAATGTAATAATCACGTTTGATGTTTCAGTGGTGAAAAGGTTCAGTAGCTTTGGTGGGATCCGAACAGAAAGAGATCCATGGTCTCAGTGGACCGTTGCGGCTTAGTTGGCAGAGCATGCGCAATGTGAACCTTTGAGACGGTGTCCCTATGTAGGTTCACATCCCAATTCATAATTCAACCATGACCCTGATCTTCCAATCAACACAATTTGAATAATCAGGTTTGTTTTGTTCACGAAATCACTATCCCCGTTTTATGCTGTTCATTTACCTTGAAAACGTATGATATGAATGGTTCACAGTTCCTGCATGCTTACTAAATCTATTGAAGCCGTTCATTTCCTCGGGGAAACGAGAAACAAGACGGAAGAGTACAGTTGACGGGGTAGTGCTTTGATTTTCTCAACCAAAAAATGAAACAAATTGTGGACATTCGATTCACGGATGAATGAAGGAAGTTTTTCTGTGTTTATATATGTGTGTACGTGTGTGCAAAATTCGCGTTGACTCCATCCCCACCGAACCATATATGGGACGAGACTTTGGACAGATATTGTAAAATATTACTACTTCAACATAAAAGGTCAACAATCTGTCAAATGTGTTTGAAACTGAACCGAGAAGTTGAAAGGTTGTGTAAGTTTGGATGAAAAATCGGGTAACATACAAGCCTTGATCGAATTGTTTACTCGCCGTATCCCGTTCCCCGGTATCCACCTCGCTCAAGGAATGGTTCAAACGGTAGCACACGGTGGGTAGATTTGAAAATAGCGGTTTGATGAAGTAGCGACTAGTTTTAGAACGGTCAGAACTCTTCACTTACAAATCCAGTGATTATTTCTCCTAAATTACCACGCCTAAAATCTTTTGTAGCACAAAATACAAACGGGTTGATCGCAGAAGAAGTAAAACGTATTGATATAAAGAGTTAGGCGCTAGAAACGGATGAACTGAGTAACTTCAAAGTGCAATACCAATGATATCGAAGTCGCTCAACACGAAGGAAGTTAACCACTAAATTGAACAATCGACTGTGCGTTGATGTTTGCATAATGAATGACTTAGTACTTACCAAATTTACTAATTACTGCAGGGAATAGAGGAAGTGTAACTAAAATACTCACATATAATTTGAATGAAAATCTAAAAATTTCATTAGACAATCTATTTTCGATTAGTGAACTGTTTTTCATTGCTATATGTACCAAACAATATAATCCCACTTCACTACTCGAAAGGTATTATGAGTTCAGCGTGAACTAATTTCGAGTCTGAGCATGCATGAAAGTTCTGTGTTGGTGGGGGGATTTGGGAATGGAGTTAAAAAGCAGTCAACCGGGTCGGTCTGACTGAGTGGTTCACTGCCATTGAAGATGACATCAATGGGGAAGCACGAATTGGCAAATACTTGTCAGTTCTGGTGTGAGCTGAATGATATGGAGTGGTAACATGCACGCTTTCACTCCGATGAGTCCGGAGTTTAAACCACGTACGGGATGATAAATGTGCACTACAGGTGAGCTCGAATAAGAGCGAAACTCGAGTCTAGTGCTTTCTGATTGTATGACTGAGTGAAAAGAACTGAGGATTGTGTTTGAACATGAAGTTGGCTGAATGATTAGTTCATATAAAAATTAATAGCATTGAGACATGTGTCACATCGTGCGAAGTTTGCCAGTTTTGTTTACAGTAGGACAAATGAATGATCTAGTTATTTTCAGTTTTTGACCAAATACGGAGCCCAGTTTGGGTTCCTTCTTCGTGTAAAGGAGCTATGAAGATATTTAGCTTGCACTGTGCAACAAATACACATTATCTTTGGAATCAATGAATTTAACTTAAAGGAAAAGCTCGTCTTGCTGCAATCTTTGAATATTCTGCGAGTTACAATTCCTTTTTCATTTAGGATTATTGACAATGCATATAACACTAAAGATATATATATATATATATATATATATATATATATGTCTCAGATCGAACGAGAAAGATAAAAAATATTATCATAAACGACAGCTTGGCATACTCGGGAATGATGCACCTCGTCAGCATTCGAATAAGCCACGGAGGAAATGATTAAATCTGGTTTACATGTGAGGCATTNATGATAATACATTCAGACTGAATAGAATGATTACAAATCTGAACCTCAACGATATAATTGAATCGAATTTCAACCCCCTAATCACAGCGTTGGAACGGTGCAAACAAATTAGGATTTTGGAACTGATCAACTGTTAGTAACTATTTGTAACACGCAGTACAATGTTTCAATGCTAATACTGAACAGTTTGTACAAACCTTGTCCACCATATTCGGTCGATTTGTCTGATCCACAGCGAGTTCGGGTTGCGCAGTTCCGCTTTCGCTCGATTTGACCGGTTTGAAATTTGCCTTCGGTCCGTCAATCCATTGTTCTTTCTGTGTGCTCAGGATTTCAACCGCATTCCGAGCGGCAGCGCGGGGCCATGCGTGCGCATTGGTTCGAGGCAGAGTCTTTTTCACGTCGGGCCCACGAGGGCCACTGTTATCCGCTGACGGTACACTTCCACGACGATGTGTTCGACCGGTGTGAGGTTTGCTGTCCGCGAGATCTGGATGTTCCACCGAGCCAGTGGATTTCTGATCACCTCCAACGCCACTGGCATGTTGCGTTTGCTTCTCGTTGTCACTGTGATCCTGCGTGCGTGGGAGGGCGGAGAACCGAGAGAGAAAAACAAATCGATCAACATTATAGTAGCATTTCCATTTACTACGACCGTTCTCTTAAATGTCGTCCAACCTCAGAGACGCGTGCACGCGCACACTCAGGCACAGAGTTTGTGACATCACAACTGATCTTTCCGGGGATCATAAACGTCCAATGCAATTAATTTATCACGGTTCAATGTTGTGACAGCTTTAGGACTGTCACTGAGCGGTTTATAGCATACTAAATGTGACTTGTTTGCAGTGTATCCAGTGCAAAATCTGTCCAAAAATCGTAACTAAATAGTGTTTTCCGGATTTCCCCGTCAGTATGCCGGTAAGCGTTTCATCGTTGAGCAATCAAGGGAGTAGGACAATCGGTGACAAGCCCTCAAGAGACGTGTTTTGACTAAAGACAGTTAGTTGAATGTTTTACGAATGTGGCTGTTGTTTGTCCAAGGGGGAGGGGGGCCTTCGAAATCGTGGTAGCCGGTTTTTTGGACTCACATGGAAAAAGCTATGAGAAAAACCGTGGTTTTTGAAAACATTGTGAATCTGTTTTGGCAACCAAAGATTACCAGCTGTAACAGTTATGGTTTTACTTGTATGAAGATTTCTACAAGTAAGTTGGTTACATTTCAATCTAGATAGGTGGTAAAAAACCATGAAACATAATGGACAGAAATAATCGATTGCTTAGGTGACCAAAATTAATCAGACGAACGGATTCGAGGTGAACCTAATATGCGAAGTTTGTGAGCCATTATTTTTTGTCAAACCCTTCTGTGCTCGTCAGTTATGGTGTAGAGGGGAGATTTTGTAAAATTTGTTTTATCTGACAAGAGCAGAAATTCGGTGCGGATGAATAATTGAGAGCCAGATCAGCGTGTAATGTACATGTAGGGTTTTGAACAATCTTCTCAGCAAAAGCAAAGCGAGAATTGCCGTGTTGATTGGCAAATTCGGTAAGCTTAGGGTCAGTGTACAACTTTAGAGTCCTGTCTCATAAAACTGCGAAAAACTGCCGAAAAGTAGGACAGGAAGAATACAGTGAGAGTTTAACTTAGTAAAGACCGGGTGCGAAGTTCAGAGTTGTGAAAGATCGCCTATTCGAATGGAAAGACGTTGAAGTTCAACAATAGATGTGAAACGCTCATCTAACAGTTGCCACCTATGCGTTTAACGGAATTAGCAATCGATAGATGGATGGCCAAGTGGGGTATTTAAAAGCGACCAAGGAGAGCATTCTCAGTTAATTTGAATGCAGGAAACGTTAATATGAAATCGCTTTTCCAATCTATACGAGATGGAAGATGTGGGAATTGAAAGTTGGCAATAAAATATGAAGGCAGAAGGCCATCAGGATCAGATGCTTCTGAGTAGTGGCATTACATTGGTGGTACCGTTTTGATTTTACATTCTATCCAACTTTATGTTCATGAGCAAAACACATTTTTTTCCGGTCAGCCATACCCTTGAGAAGGATTTTTTCTCCTGTTTCACTCTTGACGGAGCTCGTGTTGAAACTCACCGTCCAGTCCGGGATTGGAACTTTGGACCACTCTTTGCTATAGCTGTGCCATCCAGCTCAGCTGGGGCCGCACAAAATTACCGATACTGTTTTACACACAAGTCATCTTCAGTTCCATTTAGTCAGCTCGTTTGACCCTGCAGCCTTTATGGGAGACAATGTTGTACACTTTTTAAGTTCAATCGATAACTCATGTCTACAAAGTAGCAACTGAATGACTAAGTTCACGTAAAACACCTGGGCTATATGTATATTATTGTTGGGGTAAAACTGATCTGTGCTATTTTTCCTGATGGTTTTAACCGAAACAACTCAGAATGTTTTAACGCATTAAAACCTAATACGTCTCCAAAGAATCCATCAGGAATTTGAGAAGCGTTTCTTTAGTTCAGAGGAGCTATCAGAATCAGAGTTATTGTGAAACTGCCTATTTTCCATAAATCCCTAACCGAACTTCAAAACAGTCCTTTTACTTACATATCACTGCATCTGTGATCGGCAAAAAATGTCCAATCAAACGGTTGATAAACCTTAACCGGAAAAATATCTATAGACATCCGCATTTAGTATGCTCTCCAAACAGACCGTCTGTCTCAGAGGTCAAAAGTCACTGTAAAAATCATGATAGACGCAAAGGTTTTCCATTTCTGTCAGTAATTGTAATTTGTTACCCTTGAATCAATCTGTCAATTAAATCCAATCTGACGGATGTCCACATGAACAGAACGTTTCATGTTGAACTGTGCACTTTTCTAACGGGATGCTAAATCAGTGTGTAAAAGTGGACAGATACAGAGGGAGATATACAGACTGGAGACCATCACCAATTGTACCCAAAAATTTCATCACACCGGATGTTAGGATGGCTTGTTGAATCCAACAGAAACCACCAAAACCACTACCACCACCACAACAACGCTAATGATTTGCAAAATTCTGATCCAACCAGAAGTCTTGGAGATATACTGTTTATATATGAAGGAAATTCTGTGATTTCGTCGGACACGCTAGTTTCGACTTTGTTTTAGGTGTGTCCGAAGCACATGAGATTTACTGACAGAGAACAAATTTGATTTAGAATATCCAAAAATATTACAGGTTCAATCGAAACTGAAGCAACAGGTATATTCAGTGGGACAAACGGAATGTTAACATCAGGGAACCGAGTTTTATAGGAGGTGAGACCATCTTAGCACAGCCAGTCGAATGGCATCAGATCCTTGCGCGGCCACAATAAGAGAAATACAACCATTTTGATCATGTTGAGCATCTGCTGTAGAACCAGATTGTTGCATCAGCGAATACGAAGTGTTCAATATTGAAGAATTGCATAAGGCTAATGGCACTGTTGCGTAGCATCAACTTTATTCATTATCATCGTCATCATCATCATCATAATCACCACCATCGTTAAGCGCTTCTATATGAATTGAAACGATCGACTTTCAAAAGGCCTTCTCTCGTCACAGTGAGTATGAGTTTGGGAGTTTGGACAGAACTGTTCAACCTGCCCACTGGGAGTGTGAACTGAAATATTCTCTGTGGGCCACCTAGAAGATTGGCTTGAGGTCATCCGGATCTGTTAACCCAAATGGGAATCGGTCATCTCGTGATATCCAAACCAAATACATTTAAAATGTATGGGTATGTGGCGGAGGGATAGATCCCAGACAAGCGGAGCGCACACTGGAAAAACAAACACTTATGTCATTGTGTCTCTGAAAATCAACTGAACTTATCCGAACACTATACCTAATGGGTATCCACATTCACTTCTGATGTGTCCCGTCGATGATGCTACTCAGGACAAAGATGTTCTAGGTCTAACCCGACGGTTCGCGGTTCCAGTCCTAATAGGGACTCCAAAATAGGCACTGTTGATGTCTCCCGACAGGGACAAAGCAGCACTCTTTGTGGGCGATTCCACAATGAATTCCATCGTAAATTAAAAACAAGTAAGCAAACACTGATGTTTGCGGTTTGTTCTGTTTCTGCAGTGATATATGTGACCACAAACCCAATCAGGTAGAAAATGGGACGATAAAGAGGATTTTAATTCACCTGAATAAAACTTTATTCCATGTCACTGCGTATCGTTTAACTAGTCGATCAGAAGGAACACAGAACATCAGTTTTCTATGTCTCAACTAGCATCTTAATGATGATCTCAGTCGTAAGATCGGACTAATAATCGAAATTCAACTGCCATGTAAAATTCTCGATTGTCAACAATCGACTACCTCAAACAGTTCACTTTATTCCAACAGAATGAGGCATTCAGCAGTTGTGGTTATTCTTTAACAATGGTATTTTAAGACTGAAATATATTCTCCGGTGATGTGATTCGGTTTACACATTCTTCCACAAAGTTTGATATTCTTCAAAATCCATGTGAAAATTCCTCGCGGCTATTGATCAGATTTTTTCTGATTTGCGTCTGCACGCATCTACTCTCTCTCTCTCTCTCCCACTTTGGCTCTGTCATCCGCTCTCCATCTCTCCGACCGCGTTTGTTACACACACACATCCGAGCATCAATATTTCGCAAGGAGACACTGAAAAACCAGTTTTCGGCAGCTCTCTTGGCGCTCTCTGCTCTCTCTCTTGCTCGCGCGCGCGCTGTCTTCCTTATGTCGATCCTATTGCTGGACACGAAGATCTGAGTTATCGCCTTGTGTTTGTTCATTCAATAATTTAACATGCATGGGGAAAATTGACACAATAGTTGCGGCATTCTTGGTGTTGGACTCCGGTCACGTACACGTTGCACCCGGTCGAACGGGAAAATTCAGTCCGATAGGAACCAAACTCGACTCAAGTTGCACGCCATAACACCGAGTAAATGAGACGTTTTCGTTAGAGTGGTGGAGTAGGGGCCAAAAGATATCCCATCAGGGGGGGGGGTTGCACGGAGTCAAATCAAAGCATTAGATGGAAACAATCTGATGTTTATAATTAATGAACAACAGTTTCTGTTCAGCGTTTTTGTGTGACGTCTAATTGCACGTGTGCTTTGTTTTCTCTGCGGGACCGGGCATTTGCATCTCATAAATTGTTTGCTATTCGACGAGGAGAAGCGCCAAGAAATCTCTTGATAACACGTTTCGTCAGTCTTGAAAAATCCTTTACTATTTATTCCAGGATGATTGCATCTCTCAAATTGATCTCCAAATTTTATCGGCGATGTGTTTAAAAAAAACACAAGCCTATTTCGTTCAAATGGTTGTTTGACAGATTGAAGTCTTTTGTTGAAATTGTGAAAAGAGTTCAGTTTGCCAAATAGCTGTTTGAACAACTAGTCTTGCCTTCGATGTTCATTCGATGGACTCCAGTGAATTGTGAGGAAAACCTGTCGAGGCAGTCAGCTTACATGCTAATTGGTGGATGCCACATGCTTCTGTAAGCTGGATGGGTGACTCGAATCTGAAAAGTCCACTTCGGTTTGACTCCTGATACTGAA